ATTGCTACTTCATAACTGTAATGTTGCTACTGTTATTAATTGTAATGTAAATATCTGATATGCAGGAGACCCCCAAAAGGGTCGTGACCCACAGGTTGAGACCTTAGAATATTAGAATATATTACATATATATCATAGTGAATTAAATTAATTTTAATTCCACACTCTCCCTAATTTATCTTTATAAAATGATCTTCTCTTAATTTATAGGTTACATTATTTTTTAAAGGATACATATTTAAACAATAAACCTCTCTATTTCCAAATTGGTTTTAATTAATTAATAGCCAAAATAATAATAGTGCTTTCTCCATACTATGGTCTGTAAATCTGACCAGAATACCTTTCTGTCAAAACAAATATTTTGAAACAGAGGCATACAATTAGTATAAAATATTTAATCATAAACTACTAGAACTCAAACTATGCATTTTTTGTTTGTTTTGCCAGCATCTTCTTTGGAACCAAAAGAAGGAATGTTCTGGCTGAGCACAGTGGCTCACGCCTGTAATTCTAGCACTCTAGGAAGTAAAGGTGGGTGGGTTGCCTGAACTCAGGAGTTTGAGACCAGTGTGAGCAAGAGTGAAATCCCCTCCTTACTAAAATAGAAAAACTAGCCAGGCATGGTGGTGGGTGCCTATAGTCCCAGATACTTGGGAGGCCGAGACAATAGGATCTCTTGAGCCCAAGAGTTTGAGATTGCTATGAGCTATGATGACACCATGGCACTCTACCCAAGGTGAAAGAGTAAGACTTTGTTGGCTCAGCGCCTATGGCTCAAGTGGCTAAGGCACCAGCCACATACACCTAAGTTGGCGGGTTCGAATCCAGCCTGGGCCTGCCAAACAACAATGACGGCTGCAACCAAAAAACAGTCAGGCGTTGTGGCAGGCCCCTGTGGTCCCAGCTACTTGGGAGACTGAGGCAGGAGACTCACTTGAGCCCAGGAGTTGGAATTTGCTGTGAGCTGTAATGCCATGGCACTCTACCTCAAGATGATGTAGAAATAGACTCTGAGGATCACACAGATGCTTTTGTGGTAAGCATCACAAAGGGGACCATTAAATTTCTTAGGGCTTTTGTCTGAGTCTGTTTAATTAAATAATGTGTAAAAGTAGAACTTGAGT